CTCCTGCGCACAAAAGACTCAAGAATATCCAACGAAAAACCCACGATCATCCCATACGTCATTTTTTCAATGAAAAAATATCGCTAGGAATCGAGAATTCAGGAATCAATAATAGAACATATTGAATTATATCAAAAGCCGAAACGTATCTATTTAGATATTTAGATTTTTAAGTAAAAATATTTTTTTTTATATAATCGATAATTTCTCTGTATATCTTAATAAAATAAAAAAGCGAATAAAATTTTCAATAAAATTTATATTGTTGACACTTTTGGTAAAAAATTAATTTCGACAGCGTTGGAAATTTCAATTCTAAGCACGAAAAAAAAAGTTTCAAAGTAAGAAGTTGAATAATATATAGCCCGATGGGTATATATGTATATAGCGACAATGGTCGAAACGATTCAAATGCAAATTTGTTCGTAAAGAAAGGAAAGAGAAGACAAAAGAAGCAATAATATTTCATTTTACTTTAAGGAAGTAACAAGCAAGAGAAGAAGTCGGGAGCAATCGAGCATTCTCGCATTTGGAGACCGTGGGCTCGTTAATATTGCCAAAGAGCTGGCCGACGACTCTCCCTCAGTGGGCCAGGGCTTCGTACGAATTTCGCTTGTCCGAGTTTGGCCTTCGACGCCAAGAAAGAAGGGACAGGACCGACGATGAAGGCGAGCGAGATAAAGATGGGGGAAGGTGAACGGAAAGGGAGAGAGAGGGGGGAGTAGCAAAAAAAAAAGGTTGGGATCGAAGGGAATGAGGAGGAGAGAAAGAGAGAGAGCACAAGAGAAATGCGTGGGAATTGAACCATGTGGTCGGCGGCCGACTGGTTCGCGAAATATCGCGTTGCGAAAGTGCACGCACACATCCGTACATATATATGTGTGCATACATATATACGTATATGTATACGAATTACCGCATATACGCGGAGGCAAACGAAACCGGTGCACGTGTATATATCATCATTCGAGGTCACGGAGAATTTCAGAAATCGCGCGCGGAGTAATTAGAGTACCTTTTATGGCATAACATCATTGGAAACAACGGGTTCCCGAAACACCGGCTAAATAGTGCTCCGAATAAAATTCGCGATCTAATAAAACTACTAAAATATCATTCGAATAAAATACCATTATGAAAATGTCTTCGTATAATAAAATAAAATTTACATGTGTTAGATAAAAAATTTAGCATCCTATATATTATGACTTGTATTTAATTATATTTTAGCTCTATTTTAAAAACTATATCAAAGGTATAAAATATCAATACAATCAGTGGGAGAGAGAAGCAAAATATATTAAAATTAATTATATAAGTTCTAATTTTTAATGCTACAATCAACAAGAGAATCATAATTTTATCTAAATTTTATATATCTGAAGATACGAAAAACCGTATTTTTTACGAATGATAGAAGATGAATACGACATAATAACAAACAGTATGACGATAAATGCAACGATGCGTACGTATGAATACGACACGTGCTTGATTACGCAGCGACTTGCGCTTGCGATCGGCGCGAGATCAGCTGTTAGTTCACACCGCCAATTACGAGTCACGCGACTCTCGAGGTTCTTGTCCCGACTGACACACATGCGCATTGTGTGCCTACCTTTAATCGTCTCACAAGGCACGGCGGTGTTTGACGTCTCGTCCCGTCTCGTTTCGCGAAGTCCATATTTCCTGTTAAATACTCGATTAACTCTTGACCCCCGCGTGACCGCGTTGTCTGAGAGCGTACGTGTTGCGCAATTTTTAGTCGGTGCTATTTTTAAAGCTGGCGAAATTTTATTAGCATGGCTCATCTCCACGTTTATCCTCTACACATGCTCAATTTTCATGGCTTCAAAAATTCACGTCTTACGAGTTTCTAATTTTGAATATCTTTATAACCAAGTCTATTAAATAAAGTTAACGTAAAATCAAATAAGTAATACGATTTCATTACATCTATATTTAAATTATATTGTGAGACTCACGTGTTGAAAAAATCTTCAAAATTATCGCTCATAATTCAAAAACGTATATTGAGATCTGAATACTTCATTTTTTTTAAGAAAAATTTTAGTAACATTTTATAAATAAATTTGTGGATAAAAAATGGCTCGGTACATTTCGTGGATAATGCCAGGTATACGTGTCAACTATCAAAAATGCGGTTTTCATATGATCGACTTAATATTATTTGCGTTGTAAAATGCTAATGCCGCGGTTCGTTCCCACGCTCGACCTTACTTCAAAGATTTCACAAGGCTTTAGGAACAAGCTCGTAGGTAAAGATTTACGAAGGTCCGGTATTCATACCCAACAGTGCTAACTGATTGTCTGCTTCATTTTGATTTATCTTTTTCTCGAATAAATAATTTTTTATATTTGTTAATATAAACTCGCACGAACGTAATCTATATCAATTATTCAAAACAACAGGCCGAAAACAAAAGAGAATTACGAAATATATTATTTAATATACTAAATAAATTTATAAAAACAGAACGAAAAAATAACGCGTATGTAGTATAATACAAAAAATCATTCAATTGTGTTTCGGGAAATTTAAAACACCGTAAACTTTCGGTCGACATGATAGTTTTATTTCGCAGGTTAAAAATTCAATAATGTTCGATCATGCGAACCATTCGCGTCAGCTGATACTCGACTGCAGTGACGTCAATGCCCCGACAGTGTAAAAACTAAACGGACGCTGTCACACAACGTGGGGCTTAATAATGAAAGTTCCTGCGTGACTAGCTCAAACCGATTGTGCGGGAGTTTAGTTTTACGGCGTGGGATCGGATACCGACTTTCACATGCTAAAATTAGCCAAAGCCGAAGAGCATGCGGCAATTCATAAAAGCCGCCGACAACGGTTTGCGTAACATTGCGACGCCTAAACGCAAAAGAGAGACGATTGAGCTTTATTGACGAATTCACCTTGTCAAAGAGAGGTAGATCGTTTCCGGTCCAATTGTCCGCCTGACCTGGCCCGCGCGCGCGCGATGCCGTGCTTGTTGGCCCTAATATAATAAAACTCTTCCGAACGGATGGTACCAAAACGCCATTCTGAAGTGTGATGTATGCGTTTGCGTTCTTTAAATAACGGTTAAAAAAGATTTTTAGATACGTACCAAGAGATTCCTTACTTGACGAAAATATAGAGAAATCTTTTATTTTTCAGCACTATGCACGTGCAAAATTAGGCAAAGAATCAAATATGGCCCAGTTATGTATTTAACGAGCGCCATTGCATTCCAGCGATATTTTTTGTTTGTATGGCCGAATAAGAGTGATAAATATTATTTATATACTCGCTAATAGATATCGAATAAAAGACCTTCATATTAAAAAAATTAGAAATATTTTGCAAAACAAAAAATCATGCAGTATTGATCCCATACAATCGGATTTTCACGGCATTATTATTTCGTTATCATCGTTACTTTTCTTGTATGGTCTTGTATAAAATCTAATACTGCTAAATTAAATCGCAAGTAATTATTTTTTAAATGCATGATATTACTAATCATTTATTCTTTGACGATCATTTCGTTATTTTACTTCCAAGGTTGTATTTTATTTTCATTATTGCTCGAAAATAGATGAGATATAATAATATCCAATTAAATGCATTTAAAAATTAATCATAATAGAAAAAACTTTCAGGGCTACTGTAAAGAAGTAAATAATTTTATCGAACGTCTTCGACAATTGAATTCATCCAAGGAGTATTGAGATAGAATATTTTGCGTAAAGCAATGTAATTCCTAACAACTTCACTTGGGCCAGATTATTGAATGCTCATATACTCGCATAACGACCCAACGATCCGAAATGATCACATATCGATTAAGGGCGTCGTAGGAGTTCTCAAGTCTTAAATATTGTTCGAACGGACAGTCAAAATCGCAAGGTGGTACTAAATATGGGCGTGACACCACTTTTGCAATTCTGCAGTAATATCGCAAGATTTTCAATTTTATATATTAGTGCGTGCGGCATAAAAGAAATTTCGTATACGCACGCCACACATGGAATGAAATGAGAATTTCCTAAAATCGGATGCATTTTAATAAAAAAGGAACGATGTTTTGCGATTGTGGTAATGAAACATTGCTTGTACAATAGAAACAATCATGCAGTAAGACCCGGATTAGTCTCATGCAACAATTTTCGTCTAGACTATTTACGCGGTCTTTTGATAAAATTAAATCCATATTTTTTTTATGCCTTAAAATTCTGATAAAAACATAAATTTTTAAGGAAAAGAGAAAACAATTTTTTGATGATAAAAATTAAAACATTTATAGAATTTAATTTTTTGGCATTTGATCGAATATCTTCCTTTTTCAAGAAGCATGCAATAATTGTGCATTCCTTCTAATGTATCCATGGAAAGACGTGAGCACGAGGCGATGAATGAATGATCATTATTATTCAAGCTCAATCGATTTTTCCTCCAGCACAGGTAAAACTTATTGGAGGAAATGTTTTTCAGTTTCTTTTTCTTTTTTCTTTTTTTTTTTTTACACAGCGAATTCATATCGAATGAACAAGCGACTCCAACTACGAGAAATATGATGATGACGATAACACTTTTCACATGGATACAATTCTCATTTCAACCAAAGATTTATTATACGATGCCAAGTATGCCCCGCACATTTTTATATCGGCACACTCGACTTTTCGTACGAAATCAACATATAATGATATAAACGCACATTTTTAACCCTGAACCAGAGTCGTGGAGTGTAAAAATTGATTTTTCATTAGTTTTTCAAAATCAAAAAAATGTAAATTTGATGTACTTTATAAAATATATTAAAAATAATTTAATATATTTAATATTCTCTATTTATTTTTATTTATATATATTAATTTTATGTATTTTTAATATTTTATTGTGGAAAATAAATCATGACTCCATGACTCAAAACATGTTCGAGATTCGCACGACTCCGGTCAGAGGTTAATGTAAAGCCACACGAGAGACTTACCTTAGACAGCTTCTCGCCCTCGTGATGCGGCAGCAACGTCCTGAGCGATTGGAATCCGGCGTTGATGCTCTGCATACGACGTCGCTCGTTGCTGTTGGCGATTTCTCGCCGCATTCGCTTCTCCTGCTCCATGTGGCTGCGCGGCGTGACACGGCCGATGTTGCTGATACCGTTGCCGTTGCTCAAAGCAGCGCTATGATTATTAACCCGTCGGCCAATTCCGACGTTAGCCTTTGATTGCGGCGGTTGCTGCGATTGCTGCTCTTGCGTATCAGCGACTTCGGCAACCGTCACACTCGTGGTCACCGAGCCGTCGTCCACCGTCTCGACGCTTCTGCAAAAAAATAAATTATAAAACATATAAGTGGAATTTTTCTTCACATAAATCGGAATTTTTAACGATGCTTTGGATTGAATGATAAACAACACGATATAATCTTATTAGTATGGAAAAAGAGTGTATAATCAATAAAGTGTAATATATATAATTTAAAATTTATTTTAGTTAATATCAAATATATAGATATATTGCATTTTTTGCATAGAATTATATGGATTAAATTTTCATAGATTGTGCCAAATAATTCCCGAATATCTTGTGCATCACACATAATCACGCGAAACGATAATGCTTAAGTCTTTAAATACTTAAAAGTTGCGATCCTTGAACTCTTGTATCTTTATACATATAAAAACGTCAATTTATTTTAATTACCTCATGTAGACAGCTGCGCTTATATCATCTCGTTATTAAAGAGAGAAAAAAAAAAAGAATTTCTGTTGGACGATAAACGTTTGCGGTCAAAGTATTTCAGTATAAATATCAAACAGATAGAGCTACGAAACCGAAGCGATACGAGCGAGAGAGAATATTAACACACGCGTATGACCATTTGACATGCATGACGCGTAATATCTCGTTGAGTTTTCTACTGTAGTTGTGGGATCGTGCGTCTTGTATCGTAGCGCGAAGGCTTTTAAGAAAATTGAAAGCAAAGTGGCTTCCCCTTCCTTCTCCCTTCCCTTTGTTTTCATTTCATCCCGAACGCGTGCGGCTTGTTTACGACGACAGACTTGTAGATGGTTGGATTCGTGGTCAATGAAGCGAGACGTTGATGCTTCTCGGCGGCAGCGCCAAAGATTTGCTCGCGACATATCTGTTTTGATTACAGAGATGTACGTCGCTTTAAAGTATGTTATGTATCGCTATCGTTTATGCTCTCTGAATCGTTTTGTTATTACTATCATCCAACCGTATTGTATGTACTGTTCTCCTCTGTTTACTATGCTTATATTTATTATTTACTATCTTTATGTTTATGTGAATTGGTGAGTACAGTATATGATTAACATTCTGTTAAGATACGCTATCACAAATTTCTAATAATCTACCATTAACTATTTTGTGTTTTCCTCGTGAGACAAGCTTCTCCACATACCGGCTCTTCTTTTCTTTATGAAACAAGACTGTGTCATTTCGTATAGATAAGAGATAATGGGTAATCTTGGCCTTGTTCCGCAGAGAAAATAAATACATACGCGCGGAGTAAGTATTTTTAAATTAATAAATTATTATATATCAAAGCACGAGTCACTTTTTGGAATTATTATAGAAACGATCTCGATATGATTCAAAATACATGTGTAATTCAAAAGCTGTATACTTTATAATATATATGAAAATATCGTGAGTTATGTATTTAAGTTTTTGTAAATAATTATTCTATTCACGTTTTTTGTGAACATAATTTTTACCATTGATGTGTTCGCATAATTTTGGGAAACTATAATAATTTTGAAAAATTATTAAATATTATCGATTATCCTCCTTTAAACATTAAGAAAATTAATATACGCGCACACATTATTAAAATTTTTTTATAGAATTATATATATATATAATCTCATAAAATTTAACAATACATATTACATATAAAATAAAATATGTTGTATATCATATAAATATATATAAATTATATAATATCATTAATTTTAAATTTTGCTACGTTTTAATAGACATTTCTATTTCTAATTTCGTGTTTATAGTGTATGCTGCGCGTAACATACCTTCGTAGGTCGTTACGCAAATAATGGAGGCATGATATATAACGCACGTACGCTATCGGGAGATCACAAATGGGTCTCATCATAATGTAAAGGTCAGCTGTAAGCACGCTATAACGCGGTGTAAACATCAATTTCAGTTAAAGAGCAAGTATAAAATATTTAACTCTGTCAACATCGAGATTTTTTTCATATTTATTGCGCTAAAGATAATCATGATTATAGATAAAAGTAATAAAAATGTACAAAGTTTAACACACATATATCTCTCTCTCTCTCAGAATTTTATACAAAAAATATTATAATAAAAATTATAATTTTTAGAAGCACAAAAAAAGAATACAATCAATTTTACCAGCTTTAAAACAAATTTGTTAAATTTAGTAATGTTCTTCAATTTTGTTTTGCTGATAATATTGATAATTCGTTAAATCATTCATATATCTAAAATATGAAAAAAAGCTTGACGAAATTGGCTATTAATACCTACAAATACCATTATATCCATGTATCCTATATCTTGTTCAATCTAAAAATCATTTCTGTATTAAAATTAATACAAGAGATTCATTTTTTAAATCCATCGAAGTCATGCACTTATGTCTGATTACATAGTTAAATCCACTTCGGTGAACATATAAATAAGTTAGCGAAGTCTTTAATAATGCAGTGCTCATTCCGTAATATTGTAGACCAAGTTGTAAGTAAAGTCGATAAAAGAGGAAATAGCAAACAGCTGGGAAATTTATATGTTAACGAGTGGCAGGAAGGAAAGCAATGGGAAAGAGAGTTAAGAGAAATAGAAAGATCGAGATGGCGGATATACCGCCGTAAGGATGACTCAGCAAAGAGAACCGTGACCTTGCTCCTTGCTCCGAAATGCCACATGTCGATAATACGAACGAATGTGAAAGCTGTTCACCAAAAATTATTATGTAAAACATTATATGTATATATAATACTATTTTTATATATGTAGTTATAATATAGGTTTCTCTCTTACTCTGTTAAAAATACTAGAACGCTTTTCTGAAACTTATTAAAATTTGATTTATTCTGGGTGTAAATTAAATTTAAATAAGATTAATTCAGACTGATAAAGATATATATGTATAATTTGTATAGATGAATAAAATTAATACTATTATATTATTAAATTGATAAGATAGTTTAAAAAAGCAATGCAATTCAATAATTTACAACGTAAAAATACTTATTGTTCATAGAATGTATTAACAACTATAAAAGTACGTAAAAATAGCAAAAGTGTCTTTGAATTTCACGATGCTTTATTGACCACTTGTCATATGTCCAGTAATTTTCTTGAACTGAAATATTAACAGTTACTCATTCGAAGATGTCACTCAAATACCGCATAACCGCGACCAAATGTACAGAGGCATAATCGTACATCATGAGCGATGCAATAACCCATGTCACGATCGTCTATCAAAGATTTCACAATGGCCGAAGTGTGTTGTAACGTAGCATTATTCGCATTCTAACTCTCATCCCTGGTGTATCGCCTATTGCCGTATCTTAAAAAACGAATAATTTTCCACAATGTTGCAATACGTCGTTAATTTATGAGATTAATTAAACTATAAAATGTTGATGACGCAATCGGACATTTCATAACTGATAAAGTCACTCGTCTACACATTTCATATTAATTTCAACATTATATCGTCTCTCGTCGTCACAGTTGTCTTGTACAATAGTAGTAAGATCCAATACTGCCACTCTAATGTCAAAATAAATCACGTTCCATTATAGTTTTGTTCGTTTTCGAAACAACCGTCTTTCCTCGCGGTATAAAAGCAGCTCAATTGTTCAGAGTAACACACACGAGGATTGAATCAGGCCGCGGCATTCATCGGCGATCATTCATAACGACACGTGGAGGTCCACGGAACCAGAAATCCACGTGGCGTACTCTCATCGAGTGGTTATATTAGATCAGCTGGTACGCCGGCGGCTTGCTGGCTGGATGGTTGGCTGTCGTGACGTCAGCTCGTTCGTTCGCCGGATACCCGTAGAGCGCTCGCTCGGCCAGATCAGTTGCGGCGAAGTAGGTCGACGAAGTGGATAAAACTCCTTTTCACCCTGAAATCCTGCTACTCGTACGAAAAAAAAAAAAAAAAATACGCGCGTGCTACAGACAACCCTATATAAAGCGTCTAATATTCCTTTTAACTTATTTATCTCGCTTCTTGTATTGTTATTTTGTGATAATCAGTCTCTCTCTCTCTGATGATCATTTAGATATATTTATCTGAATCAAACAAGATTAATAAATAAAAATTAATTGTTAATCTTTATTTTTATCTCCTAATTTTTAGTATTCATAGGTTTCAAATACAGCTACAGTTGTGGTAACTACAGCTGTGATTAACCACGTGCTATCGGTCTGTGCCACAACCGTGATAACAGTCGAACCCACAAGAGATAATTTCTTACAAGGTTACATGATATTCATGCTACATATGCCAACAAATTATCTTCGAAAATAAAGAATTTAAAAAAAGCAGTAGCACTTAATGATTCTTTTTTTCTAACTTTAATTTTGCAACATTCCATATTATCTAAAAAAATCTTGCTATAAAAAAATAATGACTTCAGAAAATATGCCTGCTGTATTTTAATGCATTTCGATTAAATAATTTTTATTTTTTGTTTCTGTATTATAACAAAAATTATATTTCCTAGCAACGGCGAAAAGAAAACTATATAAAGTGCAATTTTTCTTTTAATATTAGATTATAAAAGAAATCGACTTTGAACAGTTCTTTTTTTTTTGCCACATTTCAATCGCAAGAAAATATAACTTTTTTTTTGACAAAAAACGATCGACCATATGGCACATCGAGAGGCAAGCCGCGTATCACGTTCTACTACATTATATCTGCGGGTGATTATCTGCCAGCAAATGAATAGACTTTAGAGAACGATCGCTGAGCAGCGGGATTTGTTCTAATTATAACTTCACGTATTTTAGTATTAAGCAACATCGAACGATGAAGATCGACGAAGAACGCAAAGCAGAGGAGAAAAAAAAAATAAGAATAGCAATAAAAAGTATCTGCGCATCGAGTCGCTTGGTCGCTTTTCTGTCCAGGTGCAGACGCACTCGCGGATTTTCGCTTATAGGTAGAAAAGAGAGCGTCTTCGTGAGAGATGCACACGGACACAACGGCGTGCGCATTCTGGCGCACGCGCGCGCTAGTATTGGTTGTGTATGTGTGTGCGTTATGCATTGGTGTACGCGGC